CTGTAAGCCTTCACCTGAAGTACAATAAAATATAAAAAAACAAACAAACAAACAAACTACAATGCCTGAAATGAAAACTATGCTGGCTGGGGTTAATGGTAGATTAGATATTGCAGAAGAAAAGATTAGTAAGCCTGAAGACATAACAATAGAAGCTGTTCAAAATGAAACACAAAGAGAAAAAGCAAAGAGATTTAACAGAGCATCATCGAGTTGTGAGGCAAACATATTGATAATCACTTTAAGTGGAAATCATCTAAATCATCCAATTATATGAGAGATTATCAGAGTGAATGAAAGCAAGACCCAGCCCCTAATATCTGAGCTTTATGAAGAAAGGGAAGCTGTTCACACACACACACACACACACACACACACACACCACAAACAACCTGTTTTTGCTAAACATGTACAGCATACCATGGTCCAAGCATCACTGAAATCGTACCCACCTTAGCTAGTATAACTCTAAGGCAGGTAGAAGGAATTTAGGCACACCTCTGTAGGAGACAGACTGAAACATTAGCACATTGAGGCATCCAGATAAATCTGTAGTGATGAGACCCAGTGGAGAATGCAGAACCAGTGGTGTGGAGGGGATCACACAGCAGAAGAATGGAGTGGGCTTGTGATGTGCGATTGGATACTATTCCCAACACATTAAGGGAATCAGGAGGACTTGGAGTCCTGCATGTGCGGGTGAGGACAAGAAGCAAACAGCTCATAGGCTTTTTATCTCATTTGGTTCCCACAGCAACCCGGGATTTTATTACCTCCTTTTTACCATTGAATACAGTAATCACTAAGGAATTGTCATGCTATTAACTACTAACTTTATATTACTGGCTAAAGGATTCAAAAATAATTCGAAATTTATGACTCTTGTTTGTTGGCCTTTTATGTTTTTATCTAGATCTTCACTGTCTTTTAAACAGATTGACACATTATTTAGTTTGCCTCCTCTTTTAAAAATCAAACTTTAACGTAGAGACTAAATAACATCTATTAATTTAGCGACAAAACAGATAAGAAAGATGGAAATGGATTGATAATCATGTGGTCTCAGAAAAGGAGACAGGGTGTTGCAAGCGAGATTTTTAAATTTTCTTCTCAGTATATTTTTTTTTCTGTCTCAAAAACAACAAAAACCACTTTATAAATGCAGTATTTTACAATCAGAAATACGATAAAGCTCTTTTTATTTGTGGAAAAATGATTCCATTTTAATAAGCATACATCTGAGGATGTCTCTCTTATGCAACTCAGAAAAGTTTATACAAAGTACAAAATAGTTCTTATCAGCTACAAGGGAACAAGTAGATTTTTAAACATGCTAACTGTAACTTTTCAAACAATATTTGGGGGAAAAGATTCAAACAAATACAAACATTAAGATTTTCAAATTCCTTATTTATTTGGTCATGCATATTTATATCACTTAGAAAATATTCCGACTGGTTACATGCGAGATAGCAACTAAACCTAGTATGTAACGACATGTTATCTGCTTGAAAATTTAAAAACTGGATCTTTCTAAACAAAATCAGTATGTTTATTACACGATCTATGCGATGTCAGGAAAGGCACAGAGACTAGACATGGGACTTTTGTCCATTTCATTCATATGATCCAGTCCTTTTTCTACTTCCGGGACAATTTTTATGTTTCATAAAGAAATATGTACTCTGTCCTATTGTATTCAATACATGTATTCGCTTAATGTTCTCACATTTGCCAACTGAGAGTGGACCTGCTGAAATGTGATGGCCAATACCTTGACAGTTTTGAAAACCAGGAGCTAACTGAAAGTTGATCAAATGTGATCCAATTAGCCTTGATGAGTGGAACGGAGAGATTGAAAACAATAACTAACATGACAAGCTGAAACTGTTTCCTTGGCAGGGGCTTTATAAGAAGCAGTATTCCTCAGAAGAGGCGCTGAGCCTGGCCTTTATCACGACTACAGGATAATGATTGAAAAAAAATTACAAGCGCTATCTCGGGATGATTAGATTGTGGTTTTGTTTATATTCTTCCTATAGTTTCTGCATGATCCAAATATGTATCATGACCTTGCATTACATAAAAATTATAAAAAGCATTACATTTTAAAATGTTCCCCAAAGAGACTTTTGAAATATGAGAGTATAAAGAAAGAAATGCAGCTCACACCACACACAGACACAAAAATGTTAATTGTTGTTATATACTAGTTGCTTAGCTAAATTATAATTGATTAATAATTAAATTAGTAAAGAAATTAGTAAGTAAATACATTATTACAGTACTAAATGTCTACTAAGTCAGGCAGTGTGCTAGAAACTAAGCTACAGGGTGATTAGGACAAAATCATTGTTGTGAATCAGGCACAGTCTTGCATGGAAATGATCATGTCTAATTTGTTCAATAATTTTGTAATTATTATTAGACATTCATTATTGATAGTAAATTCATGATAATGAATTAATTTGATAGGATCTTTGGAAAGAGAAATAAAACAGTATCAATTTAAACAGAGAAACATTGTTTCATGCAATCCAATTTTAGAAATGTTATATTTTCCAAAAGTGTGTCATCAATTGTGGAATCAAGTAAGTAAGCTAACTTCAAGCTAATATCTGTAAAATGATGCAATCATTGCCAGTGTTTCTCTCTGTCTATATTGTTTAAAACTCAGATGCATCAGAATCACCTGGGGAACTGTGAAAACCATAGTTCCTGATTCAGGTGAGTCAGAGGGTGAAGGTGGGGGTAGGGAGTAGTTGGTGGGAGGGGCACCCAAGTATCAGCATTTTAAACATTCTCCCTAGGTGATTCTGATGCTGGAACATACAGGTTTTTCAGAAAAGATTACAGGTTTTATGTCAGAAACTTTCCTTCCTACGTTCACTTGGAACTGAAAAGTAATACTTTCTGGATAAGTAAAGTTGCTTGCCCTAGGCCACTTAGTTAGGGACAGTCAGGACAGTATTGAGCTGGGTTCCTAACTCCATCATAGTTAATTAATCAATCAGAAGAATTAATAGTCAAATATATACTAAAACAGGCACTATACTAGAAACTGAGCTCCAGGACGATTCAGACAAATCATTGTTCTGAACTGGGCACAGGCCTGCATGGAAATGATAATGGCTAATATTTACTATAGTTAAGGTCTTACAAAGCAGTTTATCGTGTTTCAGGTGAGGATGGGTTGGATATGGGAAGGGATTGTGTTTCACTTTTGGCTAAAATGTGTCCCCCGGTGTAATTTACATGTCTGGGTAACTGTTAAATTGGTTGGGCAGGCCTGCCAAGGGTCTCCGTGGAAAAATTTCATGACAACGGTACAAAGACTGGAAAAAGCAAAGCCTTCAGACTGTTTGTGTTTTGGAGGTCTGTAGTAGTGTAATTCTGAGCACAGCGTGGTTTCTGACACCTAGGTGGGTCTCCTGAGCCAGACCTTAGTGCATTCATCTGAGTTCTCTGAAGAAGGGGGGCACAAAAATAAAAACAGAAAGGATTATTTTGCTAAGAACCAGTGTTATCCCAAGAACAATTGGGATGGTACTCATTTGGATAAATATCCTCTAAAGGTCAGAGGGTTATTCTTTACACCTCTATAGGGGCCAAAGGGGGATTTGGCTCACCAGGGACTTGATAGAAATCAGTGGGTTTATTACCTTGAGGACTCCAGCACATCAGCCACTGTAAGCAGAAGGGACAGGATCCAGCAGAACGGGAAGCATGCCCAACTGACATGGCAGTAATCAGGGGAGCAGGAAGATGGCAAATTGTCAGAGGAATGACATGGTGGAACTCACAGTATTTGGGTTTAGACTTGTGAGCATGAGTGCCAACTCCCTTCTGCCCTTCCCAAGTACCTGATGGGGGCCAGGGTCCTGTCAAATGCTGCTACTTGAATAGGAGCCAGCCCAACACAGTTCCACACCTTGTCCATTCCATTCAGCAGCCCAGTTAGGCAAACCTTGTTCCCCATTTCATGGAAGAGAAAACTGGCCCTGGGAGATATATACCCCAGAGACATTTTCCACCCCTGGGGTTTATTGGTAGGCATTTGAGCCACTTTAGCATCATAGTGGATACTGCTGCAACTGCCTAAAAAACAAGGAAGTTGGTCTGCACCACATTTGAGTGTCAAGAGCCATTCATATGAGAAGGTGCTTCCCAGAGGAGTGATTGTGTGAAAATTTTGTGTTTTGGCTTCTGTACAGCAAGATCAGGCTTGCAAGCACGTTTACCATTTGCTTTGTGTTATTGGGAAGGTACGGGTACTGGCATTTGGAAATATTCAAGTAAATGAGTTATTTTTGGGGTGAAAACAGTTTGTGACACACTTCCTGAGTCATGGTACTGATATGTACCACGTGTGCAATGTGCTTCATGGAACATGGTACCAAAATGGCCCACTTGCATTAGCCACCTCCCTGCTGAGATTGTTTATAAAGTGCTCACCTTCTGCTGAGATCTTTTATAAAGCACTTAACTCCCTGATGGCATCTTTTATACAGTTCCTGGGCCATGGTACCGATAGGTACCATTTGTGTGATGTACTTCATGGAACATGGTACCGATACGGACTGCTTGCAATTGGCACCCCGTTTTTTTCAAATAATAAAAAACTACCAACAAACAATGATTCAGCAGTCATTCCACTAGTGAAAAAACATGGCAAAAACCCAAAATTCATCCTTTAAACGGTTAAAGAAATGTATCTGTAATAAAGGGAGGGTATATTCCAGTTATGAAGACTGGAAGATCCTTAAGGTTTTGTTGAAACAGTATTTATTATGTGCCTATACTGCATTCATAGGCTCACTGAAAAATCTTTTTCATTGCTTCTCAAGTTCCAGACAATAAAAGAAAAAGTTACATATCATCCCACTACACAGAAATGGTCCCCAGTTAACACTCTGGTGTATTTAATTTCAGATTTTTGGGGGTTCATATGTTATGTATAAGTTTCCATTTTTTTAATGAGACAATCCTAAGTATACAGATTGCTTTTTAATTGCTTTATTAACTTTACATCTTTCCATGCAAATAGGTGAAACTCGACTGCTGACAGAAACTTATACTGGGTACAAAGGCAATCTTCATTTAGAAGCTGGTAACAACACACTAGATCTACCTAACACATAAAAATAATATAAGGTTCACAGCAAACAGATCAGCAAAGGTGTATCAGGAAAATGCAAAGAAACAGAAAAAAGAAAACCCCAGCGGGAATCACAGTATTCATCTCATGGAAAATGACAGGAGTCAAGGCATAAGGCAAAATTCATCATGATGGTCATGGTGATTAGAGAGCTCCCCCATTAGGATACGCAGACAATTCCTCAACTGCAGCTCCCTAAGTTTTCTCCTGACTTCTCTCATCTCCTCCATGAACATTTCCATATCATCTCCATCTCCACCCATCCTATCGTTGAACTGCCTATTGGGTATGGCCCACCGAAAATTAGGGGCCAGTCGGCGAGCCTGTCCTCGCCTGTTATTTCCTGCAGGCTGATGGCCTTCGCCCCTCCCCAAAGGGCGAGCTTCCTCTCCATTCTGTATGGGGGCCTGCTCCATTTCTTCATTTTCCTGGTGCATATTTGCCATGATGAAATTTTCTTTTCCGGGTTGTTGTTCTTTTAACACAAGTATTCCTAAAAGACAAAAGCAAGAAGAGCAAAAGAATGCTTGGTGTACTGACCAGCGGGATTCAGAGCTCTGGAATTCAAAAGGGTGGTTTTGTAAAATTTCGTTATTTCCCACCTGAAAGGACTCGCGCGTCCTCTAGGGGGCTCCCAGTCCTCTCCCCTCCCTCCCCCAAGCCCACCATTTTTTCCTACCGCTCCATCGCCAGGCGTCTGCAGGCACCAAAATGGAGGACGGGGCGGGGCAGGGGGTGACTGGGGTCTCAGACTAGACTGGGCTGTGCCCCGCCCCCGCCCCCTATGGTCCCTCGCACCGACCTGGGCCTATCCTGGCAGTCTCCTCCTCCTCCCGATCCTCGCCGCCAGGTGTGCTGCTGCGACCCTCAGACCTGCAGACGGCCGAGGTGGGGGGGGAGGGGCTGCTGCTGTGGCCAAGCGCTCGGCACCGCCCCGCCCCACCCGGGCCCCACGGACCCAGGTCCCCAGCCCGCCGCCTACCGCCCCCCCCAAACCATCCCGCCCGCGCGGTGCTCGCCATTTTCCTACGAGGACTTGGGGGTGATTTCCCAGCGCTCTCTTAGTTGCTCTGCTGCCCTCCCTGGAAGCCCAGCCACTCCTGCGCCCCCCGCCCAACACCGGGGGCCACCATTTCTGTTCCCAAGAAGGCCGAGTGTGGGGAAAGCTGGCCGGGACCCGCCGCGCTGTTCCCCAGCGCCGGCCACCAGGTCAGCGGGCGACTGCGGTTGGCGAGGCGCGCGGGCCCCCAGCCTTACCTGCTGCGGTTTGCCCGGGCCCGATGCCAGTCCGCCGTGCGCCGGGCAGCAGGGAGCTGGTACCCAGACTGGTGTGACGACTGCACCGAAAGCTCCGCCGCTCTGCAGCTCCCGGTCACGTGAGGGCCGCGCGTCACCGCCGAGCTCGCCCTCCCCTTTCCCTCGGGGGCGGGCAGTGCAGCAGGACCCCCCAACCCCCCACCCCGCCACACACACGTAGACACCTCCCTCCACCCCTCCTTGCGCGGTGCCTCTGCGCGCACCGCCTGTCACTCGTCTCAGTTCTCTCCAATCCCCAGGGCCACAAGTAGCATCACCGCTCTGCGCATGGAGTTTGCGCTTCTCTGGTTACCAAGGAGGTTCTGCGCACCACCACCCCCCCACCGCCTGCACAGGCGCTGGCCTTTTCTGCTTTCTCTCCTAGTCTCCCTTGCCACGTGTTCCCCATATACACCACACACACCCTGCATATGCACAGCCACGGATGCCCACCATGTCCCCTGCAGTCATACCCTTCTATGACATTTAGAATGAGGGCTGGGGTGGGGAGGGCAAAGGGGAGTTGTCAGAAAGGGAGGCAGGGAGGCAGAGTGCGCTGTATATATCCTTCCTAATAATTTCTCTTTATTTGTTTTCAAATCAGCGTGCTTCAAAAAATTTAAAAATTAGTTTCCATTTCTGAAAAGAAATGCTTCAACCTGAGGAAGTAAAAAGCCTCATTGTGTTCACCTGTACCACAAAGAAAATATTTTCTCTGGGCTTCACACATCATCACTTTTTGAAACATACTAGCTTGGTTCAAAATTTTGTTTAAAAAAATCAGAAATTGAGGGAATCTTTCTGTAGACAGTTGGTGTTTTCTAAATTATCTGTGAAGTAAATTTTCAGTGAGAAGTCCAGTTGTCAGATTTTGGCCATGTTATATAAATTTGTGAGATGTTTTTAATACCACAGTGGGAGGGGAGGAGCCTTTTCATCCCCGACGTTTATCCCAAACACTCCTACAAATATCTCCTTATAATGATCTCAGAAGTTAAGTACATAATATGCAGAAGTTAGTCCCAAAGCCATCTGCCTTTTGGGTTGAATGATTAAAAATATGTATATTAGAAATAAGCAGGGTGTGTATGAAGCAACTAAACCGGAGACTGAAACTCATCCTTAGTGTAAATGTTCTTTTCCCCAACTTGCAATCTTTTTCACCCTCAAAAAAAAAATTATCATACTAGAAAACACAAATGTCTTTAGGAAAGCGGCATCGTTACAAAAAAAATTAGTAGCTGTTGGTTGTGGTAAAGGAACTGTTGTTGGGTGCCGTAGAGATTCCGACACACAGTGACCCAACGTGACAGAGTAGAACTGCCCCATAGGGTTTTCTAGGCTATGATCTTTAGGGGAGCAGATTGCCGGGTCTTTTCTACAGTGGAACGTGGAACAGCTGGTGGGTTCAAACCGCCACATTTCTAGGTTAGCAGATAAGCACTTAACTATTGCGCCACCAGGCTCCTGAACAAAAAGTGTTATATGCCGCACTGAGGCAAGACAAGCCAGACAAAAAGAAAAAAAGAAAAAAAAGCTCTCTCCTCAAGTTTTGGACCCACATTCCTATACTAACTGGAAGGATGCAAATTAGAAGTATGAGCTGTGGTATCTGACATCTCTGGGTTCAAATCCAGATTAGCTGCATGTGACTGGGTCAATTATCAAGGTCTCTGCTTCCTCTGTAAAACAGGACTCCAAAAAAAAAAAAAAAAAAACCTCTGCCTTTGAGCCGGTTGGACTCATAGCGACTTTATAGGACAGAGTAGAACTGCCCCATAGGGTTTCCAAGGCTGTAAATCGCTACCAAGGCGCACCCACCCGCCTTTAGGTTAGCAACCACGCCCTTTAACCACTACGCCACCACGACTCCTTCTAAAAGAGTTAGGAGAATTAACTTATATGTCAAGAACTGACCATAGAGCCTAGTAAACCATCAGTGAAGTTGACTCTTATTTTTCACATTATTGGATGGTTTCTATACAACATTTGAAGAGTAGGCAGAGCTTAATTCTTTCCTTAGCTGGATCCAGTTGTCTTCAAAATTCGTGAGCACCCAGATACATCTGCTTTGTTCTACTTTGCATACCCAGTGACTTATAGCGTTCCTTGCACCAAGTAAGTGATTAGTGAATATTTGTTGAATGAATGAATCCTGTACTGAGGCTAATTGGCTGCTTTTCATCCAGGGGACTGTATTTAGAGCAATACAGAAAAACTTTTATGAAGCTTAGGAATTACCTAGAAAGAATCCCCTGAAAGCCGAGAAGCAACTGTGACCTAACCTTTGAATATGAGGCTTAGCAAGTAGAATTTTTTTCTCTCAATGGCTAAATGCTTTGCTGTAGTCCTTTTCGCCCATCTTAGGTAAGTCTTTTGTTTGAAATCAACAAATTTTCTTGAATGAAAACATACATTTGTATTTTTTCCTGGTCAGATATTATGCTATATAGGAGGTTGGTTGTAATGCAGGAATGTTTTGAGATAGGCACAAATTGTCTTGGAAATGATGTTATCTTTACTACAATGTGTGAGGTGTCAATTGAGATCATTCCTTCAAACTCTCAAACCATCTGAGTAAACATAGAGAAGGAGGGGAAATGTAAGACAGAACACTTCTCTGCTACACAAACATTCCAAACCCAGAACCCACAATTCTAATCTTCTGTGAAAGGACAAGGAGAAGGTAGTCTGAGCCCTAGTGGGCTCTGTGGGTGTGGATATCTCTGTTCCTGCCGCCTAGAGTCGTTTTTTAGAGTCTTCTTGAGGCTTCGTTGCTGCACTTATTGTAGTTATCTCTTTTTTCCTAAATTTAAGACCCTATTAAACTGGAACTAGGTATTAAGACTGTAGAAAATTATGCCTGCTCCAGGTTTCCTGTAAGTTATGGCCATTATAACTTTGATGCCAAGACCTTGGCAGAATGGGGAATAGACCTGGTGAAATTTTAAGGATGTCACGGGCGGAGTTTAGAACATGTGGCAGATAGTGTATTTTGTTCAAGAGATCTAGGCTGAAGTAATAAAAGGCTAAGGTATCCGAATGTGAAATGAACAAATATTCAGCACCTCATTATCTTTTGGAGAGCTATGGAATATTATTTTCTATATTTCAGGAGGAAGACCCTCAACAAGATAGATTGACACCGTGGGTGCAACGATGGGCTCAAGCATAGCAACGGTTGTGAGGCTGGCGCAGGACCAGGCAGTGTTTCGTTCTGTTGTACACGTTACTGGGTGGAAACCCAAGGTTCTTGCTCGGCATGACTTGTATTGGCCAATAAATGAGAGACCAAGATAGGAGAACAGGAAAGCCACCTTTATTTTGTTGTACAAGGAACAGTAGTCAGTTGGAGCTACTGCTGCCAAGACTTCTCCCCAAGGGTGAGCAGGCATGTTACGTTTAAGAGGTTTACAAGTAGGGAGTTGTCTTAGTCATCTAGTGCTGCTATAACAGAAATACCACAAGTGGGTAGCTTTAACAAAGAGAAATTTCTTCTCTCTCAATCTAGTAGGCTACAAGTCCAAATTCAGGGCATCAGCTCCAGGGGAAGGCTTTCTCTTGTCGGCTCTGGAGGGAGGTCTTTGTCGTTAGTCTTCCCTTGTTCTGGGAGCATCTCAGCGCAGGAACCTCAGGTCCAGAGGATGCACTCTGCTCCCTGCACTGCTTTCTTGGTGGTATGAGGTCCCCAACTCTCCGCTTGTTTCCCTTTCCTTTTATCTCTTGTAAGATAAAAGGTGGTGCGGGCCACACCCCCAGGGAAACTCCCTTTACATTGGATCAGGGAAGTGACTTTAGTAAGGGTGTTACAATCCCACTCTAATCTTCTTTAACATAAAATTACAATCACAAAATGGAGGACAACCACACAATACAGGGAATCATGGCCCAGCCAAATTGATATACACATATTTTGGGGGACATAATTCAATCTATGACAGGAGTTCATACAAGTTATGTCAGCAACATTCTTAATCATACTATGCAGGCACAGTGGGGTTTACATGTAACCTCCAAGCAAAAGCAGCATTCAAATGCAAAGCTGTAGGGGGGAGAAAGCCCAGCAAAGGAAACAGGATTTTTAATACAACACTGTAGGGAAGGAAGCCAAGCAAAGAAAACAGGATTTTTAATACAGCGCTGTGGGGGCTCTGTCTCACACATAGGGTTGCTATGAGTTGGAACCAACACGACAGCACCTAATAATAATAATATTTCAGGGACGGCAAATGATATCTCAAGATACCAAGAGACCCATGGCTGCTCTTCCCTGTTTTCAGGACTCTTGTGGAAAAGAAGCTCTGCCCTGTATAGTCTCCTAAACTGATGACTTGAGCTAGACTACATATGGGCTAAGAGAACTCCTTTGAGCCTTCCTGCTACAGGCCTAGGCTAATACCATTCCTACTTTCCCTTAGATTTGGGGATGAGCTTAGAAAAGTATCAGAAAAGTCATGTGTAAACATTCATGAGGTCACTTTACTTTGCCTGACTGTTGCTACTCTCCTGTAAGCTCCATTGCTACTACCCAATGCAACAAAGCAAACCTGATCCTTCACACAGATTGAAAAGACAAAGAACAAATTGGGGGAAAATGTCTGAGCCATATGCAAATGAAAAATATAGTTAACATCCATTATGTTTAAAGAGGTATTACCAATTAACAAGAAAAAGTCAGCATACCAATAGAAGAGTGACCACAGAATAAACAAACAAACAAACTGAATCTGTTACAGTAGAGTCGATTCCAACTCATGGCAACCCCCTGTGTTACAGAGTAGAACTGAGCTCCATAGAGTTTTCTTGACTGTAATCTTTATGGAAGTAGATTGCCATACCTTTCTTCTGTGGCACTGCTGGGTGGGTTCAAACCACCAACCTTTTGGTTAGTAGTCGAGTGCAAACTGCTGGAGCCCCCCTCCCCTCAGGGACCTTGAGCAAAGGATGGGAATACATAATTTACAAAAGAAACAAACATGATCAATAAAATAGAATATTTGTTTATTACTTCAGCAGGTAATAGTTGAGCA